GAGAATTAAACCCTATAACATGAAGTAATGCCGTTTTTTATTCCTAGTAACTTTCCTTGCTTTGAAGTTGGCTTTGTCTGAAATAAAAATAGCTACATCTGCTATCTTTTGGTGTTTAGCATTGTATATTTTTCTCCGCGCACTTACTCTGAATCTATATGTGTCTTTATATTAAAAGTGGTTTTCTTGTGTACAACAGGTAGTTGGCTCTTATATTTTGATCCACTCTGACAACCTCTGTCTTGGATTGGTGCTTTTAGAACATTGACATTCAAAGTGATTATTGATATAGTTAGATTAATATCTACCATGTTACTGTTTTCTATTCATTCCCCTTGTTCTCTGTTCTTACTTTTGTCTTTCACTGTTTGTCCTTTTGGTGGTGTTAATTGAGCATTTTATATGATTTCATTTTCTCTCTCTTAGCATGTTGCACTTCTTTTTTATATACTATTTTTTCTTTATGTTTTTACTCGTAGGCATTGAGTTTGTAATATACATTTACAACTAATTCAAGTTCATTTTAAAATAACACCATGCCACTTCACAGGTAGTGTGACTACCTTATAAATAACAAATTAATCCTAATTCCTCTCTCCCATCCTCCTCATGCCAGGTAGTGTGACTACCTTATAAATAACAAATTAATCCTAATTCCTCTCTCCCATCCTCCTCTCTCATGTATCATTGTTGTCATTCACTTGATTTGTATATAAGCATACATCATGTGTGTATAAAACCATGCATAATTGTAAACATTGTTAACTATTATTATGTACAAACTATTATCTGTTAGATCAGTTACCAATAAGAAAAATAAAAGTTTTCTACTTATCCCTTCTTTATTGCTCTTTCTTTATGTAGATTTCCAACCTATAGCTTTTCCTTTTCCCTAAAGAATTTCTTTTAACATTTCTTACAAGACACATGTACTGGCAACAAATTACCTCAAGTTTTGTTTTTCTTTTTTTTTTTTTTTTTCCTTTTTGTCTTTTTTACTGACCGGTAACGGGATCGCAACCCTCGGTGTTGCTCCCGCGCCTCGCTCAGCCAGTGAGCGGGAACCGGTCTCCACATGGGATCCGACCCCTCGGTGGGAGCGCTGCCGCGCTCCCAAGCGGCGCACTCTCCGTGGGATCCAAACCCTCGGCGGGAGTGCTGCCGCGCTTCACAAGCGGCGCACTATAGCAGTGCGCCACCGGGCTGGCCCTCAAGTTTCGTTTTTCTTTTCTTTTTTTTTTTTTTGTCTTTTTCCGGGTCCGGCAATGGATCGCAACCCTCAGTGTCGCCCCCGTACCGGACCGGGACCAGCAACGGGATTGCACCCCTCAGTGTTGCGCCCACACCGCGCTCAGCCAGTGAGCGGGAACCGGTCTGCATGTGGGATCCAAACCCTCGGCGGGAGTGCTGCCGCGCTTCACAAGTGGCGCACTATAGCAGTGCGCCACTGGGCCGGCCCGCCAAGTTTTGTTTTTCTGATGAAATGTTTCTGCTTCCCTTTTGGTTGATTTCACAGGGTACAGAACTCTAGGTTGGTGGGGTTTTTTTTTTCTCCCAGCACTGAATATTTCACTCCACTCTCTTCTTGCTGTCATGGTTTCTATAGAGATGTTGAATGTAATTCTTATGTTTGTTCATCTATAGGTTTCCCCCTCTGGCTTTGTTCAGAGTTTTGCTTTATCTTTGATTTTTTTGTAGTTTGAAAATTATATGTCTATTTGTAGATTTTTTGGCATTTATCTTTCTTGGTGTTCACTGAGCTTTCTGGATCTTTGGTTTGGCATCTGTCATTGATTTGTGGAAGTTCTCAGACATTATTGTTTCATGTATTTTTTCTGTTCCTTTCTCTCTGTCTTCTCCTGGTATCCCGTTACTCCATGTTATTTTATACCTTTTGTAGTTGTCCTGCAGTCTTTGGATGTTATGTTGTTCTTTTTGCTTTTTAGTTTTTGAAGTTTCTGTTGATATATCCTTAAGCTTAGAGATTCTTTCCTTATTTCTTTAACGGTATTTTTGATCTCTAGTATTTCTTTTTAGTTCTGTCTTAGGACTTCTCTCTATTCACAATGCTGATCTATTCTTGAATTCTGTCTACTTTATCCATTTGAGCTCTTAGCATATTAAGCAGAGTTTCAAAAAATTTCCTGTTTGATAATTCCAGGATCTTAGCTATATCTGGTTCTGATTCTTGCTGTGTCATTTCAAATTGTGTTATTTTGTCTTTTAGGATACCTTGTAGATTTTTCTTTATAGCCAGACATGATGTACTAGGTAAAAGGAACTGCTGTAAATAAATAGGCATTCAGTAATGTGGTTGTAAGGTATTGACTGAGGGGAAGCTGTCTTAGTTCATTTGTGCTTGTATAATAAAATACCATTGACTGAATCATTTATAAACAGCAGAAATGTATTCCTCACAGTTCTGGAGGCTGGAAAGTTCAAGATCTAGGTGCCAGAAGATTCAGTGTTTAGTGAGGGCCTATTCCTCATAAATTGTGTCAGTTACATGTTCTCACATGGTAGAAGGGGCAAAGAATATAGTGGCTCCCTTCAGCCACTTTTATAAGGGCACTAATATTACTCATGAGGGCTCTGCCCTCATGACCTAATCACCTCCCAGGTACCCCACCTTTTAATTCTCGTGCACTGGGAATTATGTTTCAACATACAGATTTTGGAGGGATAGAAACCAGAGCAGAAATATTCTGTAGTCTTATGATTAGGTCTCATTCTTTTAGTAAGCCTCTGCCTTTGGACTGTGAACTTTACAAATGCTTCTCAGTTTGTTTTTTTCCTCCACCTTAGGCAGGACAGGATGGCTGGAGTGAGCTGGTGTTGGGTATTTGCCTTCACCCAGTTCATTTAGGCTCTGATAATACTACAGCAGGTTAGACTCTGGTTAAGTAGTTTTTCATGAGGACTGGCCTTGTTAAGAAAAATAGAGTACTGTGGCATATTTCAAAATGGTTTGCTTTTATCCCTCCCACAGGTGGAAGCAGGAGGGGAGTCTTCTTTACTATCTACTGTAGGAGCCTGCTCGAGCTCCTGGAGGTCAGTTTCATGATACTGTAGTCCTTCTGCCCATGACTGGGTTCCTCTACAGTTTTTAACTCAGAGTTGTCCACACTGAACCTCCAGCAATTCATCAGTCACAGTTCAGGTTTTTTCTGCCCTGGTACTGGTTCCCATGGTGGTTTCTGTAGTTGAGTCTCTGCTCTCATAAGCTCTGACTATCTGTATTTGCCTGTCTGTCTCTCCAATGCTGGAGCAACAGTTTGCCCTGTGTCCTCCCCTCTCTTATGGATCCAAGAAGAGTTGTTGATTTTTCAGTTTCCTTAGCTTTTTATTGTTGTTATGATGGAATGATAACTGCCAAGCTTCTTACATGCAGAAATAGAACCTGGAATGTATTTCTGAAAGTACCCTCTCAATGTCTGTGTGGCTTATCAAAGGATTTTTCTCTACAGAGTTATGAATATGATGAATTATCTTAATGTGCTTAATATTGAGCTTTACCTCATTTATGGAGTAAACTCAGAAAATTCCTCCTTGGTCTTCATAGTCTATTTCTCTTTCTCTATTTTTTAAATATTAATTTTTTTTTGAGATTCTGTACTTATTTCTGTTTTTCTTTCAGTCTTTTAGGTTTATTCACTCTTATGGCTTCAGGTACCATTGAAATTCTGATGCTTTCCAAATCCTTATCTTCAGCTGAGATCTTGCTCCTGGACTCTGGAATCATATATCCAATTGCCAGTTGGACTTCCCTTTATAGGTGACCTCACATATTTCAAATATGATGTGGCCAAGTCTGTGTCACTTCTGCCCATTGTATTCTTCTTCCATATTCCAAATTTTACTTTACAGCAGCAGTACCTACTAGCTGCTTAGATGGAAATGACCTGCAAGTAAAACTCCCCTTTTTTCTCTACAAAGCATATTAGTACCAAGGATGTTTTTGTTTATCTTTTCTTTTATCTCTTTTAGGATTACTTCCTTATTTTATATTCTCATTGCTCTGTGTCTAATGTAGGTGGTCATCCATCACTCTGTTTTCTTCTCCTTGACTCTCTCTTAAGCCCATCCTCATTCTTCTTCTAGGGAATGACTATTAAAATGCAAATCTGGCCATGTAACTTACTTGTTCTTACAGGACCTCATTATTTACACCCTGTGGTTTAGGAAGTGGTAGTGTTTATCCTTTGGTAAACAATATTTTGGTATGTAGGAAGGAAATTTTGGGATGTCTGTGTACATGCTTTTAATTTATAAGTAATTAAAATTGATAAGTATATACAATTTTGTGTTCTTAGAATTATGGGAATGTGGAAATACCCCATAATCAGTTCCTTCAATATTGTGTTCATCTCTCATCACAGCCCAGGGTCGTTCACCTCAATGCGGTGCTGTGTGTAGTTCCATAGATGTGGTGTGTGCTTTTTGTGCCCTCGTGATTGGACTGCCCTTGTCTCATATTCATGAGAGCCCTTGGTGCATGTGGAAGAGCTAAACATCTTGGTTTTTCAGTGACGTGCAACCTCATAATACAAAATACAAGTATATTTTCTCCTGTCTTACCCCAGTTTGCATTGAACTTGTGTCTGAATTAGTTCATCTAACACATTATTTCAGATATGTATTTATACTACATCTTCATATCAGATCTTAAGCTCCTTGGAGGAGGAGAATTTGATTTATACTTTTATCCCTAGCATCAAGGATGGTTCTAGATTTTTAGGGCAAACTTTATAATAGTATTGTTAGTAATTAATAGATTATTACAGTGGCACGATATTCCTCTTGTGGATTTTCTTTCTCCCACCATGTGGAGTACAAAGAATCTGCATCTTATGTAAGACATATTCAAACACAGAATAGTGAACTCCCAGATTCCTGTGTTGTGACCCAGTGCTGATGACTTGAGATCATGAGAAACGTTCCCGTACAGGAGTTGGTGTTATTTGAAATGACTTGAGATCATGAGAAACGTTCCCGTACAGGAGTTGGTGTCATTTGAGGATGTGGCTGTGGACTTCACCTGGGAGGAGTGGCAGGACCTGGACAGTGCTCAGAGGACTTTGTACAGGGATGTAATGCTGGAGACCTATAGCAGCCTAGTGTCATTGGGTGAGTGAAACTCCCCAGTAATGCTCAGGAGCAGCACTTTCCTCTTTTTTTTTGGTAAAAATAGGAACCATTTATAAGATTTAATGCAATTTAGTGTAAGATTCCATTTCATGAAGAATGTGATCGTCACCCCTCTCTAATAAAAGGTTTAAATTAATTCAAGGGGCCTTCATTGCACAGCTTCTGAAGCAGGACTGTTGTCATCCAAGGACCTGACTTACAAGTTTGGCAAAGTCTTATGTTATTTCCCATGAACAGGACACTGCATTTCCAAACCTGAGGTGATCTTTCAGCTGGAGCAAGGAGCAGAGCTGTGGTCAGTAGAAGAGCTCTCAAACCAGAGCCTCCTAGGTCGGTCAGTGTACACTGGGCAGGGAAGCCAGGAAAAGCGGAGCCCAACAGATGCTGGCAATGTTCAGCTGTTTTCACCAGTTTTTCCCTCAGGTTTGGTCTGCATGCATCAAGCATGTGCATTGTACATACAGTCTCCAAGGAGGGCTCTCAAGTATGTGTCCCCACCTATTAGTTCACTGAATACTTTATAGTTACCCAAAATGTCACTCCTACCTTCCTCTTCTTAGACATTTTTTTCTCTGTTTATTTTCTCAATATTCTCAGTTGCCCTCTTTCCTTCATTCTCATATACTGTTTTTTTCAGACATTTATTCATGCATTCATTTATTCTTTCAATGCATCTTAATCAAGCTTATTTTAAGAACCGATAATTTTATAATTGCACTGATAACAACAGTGATTAATGTAATGTCCCCTTTTCATGGAGTTTATATTCTGAGAGAAAGAAACAAGAAAACAATGTATGTTAAGTAGTTGTATAAGTATCACAGGGAATATTTAATCAGAGCAAGAGAGAGAGAAAAATGGGACGTGATAATTTAGGAAGGATGATCAGAGAAGGCAGTTTTAGGGGATTATTAAGTGTTTACTTTGGCATAACTTCTGTTTGAGTTAACTCTGTCCATAACTTCTGTTTGAGTTTTTTAAGAACCGATAATTTTATAATTGCACTGATAACAACAGTGATTAATGTAATGTCCCCTTTTCATGGAGTTTATATTCTGAGAGAAAGAAACAAGAAAACAATGTATGTTAAGTAGTTGTATAAGTATCACAGGGAATATTTAATCAGAGCAAGAGAGAGAGAAAAATGGGACGTGATAATTTAGGAAGGATGATCAGAGAAGGCAGTTTTAGGGGATTATTAAGTGTTTACTTTGGCATAACTTCTGTTTGAGTTAACTCTGTCAGTATTGACTTGTAATACACAGGTGAATATAAAATCTAGATTTGAGAGTGGATATCACTGTTAGAGATATAAATTTTGTAATTGTTAGCTTAAAGCTGGTATTTAAAGTCATAGAGGAAGCCACCCATGGAGTTGATAAAATGAGAAGAGAGGTCCAGGAGTGAGCCTTGTGTACGAGGACATCAGAAGTCATGAAGCTAAGGAGGACATGGCATAGGAACATGGAAAAGGGAGGTCCTAGGCTTGGGAGGAGAACCAGGAGAGTCTAGGTCCTGAGGCCAAGTGAACCAAGGGGTTCATGTTGAAGGGCTCAGATTTCTGTTTGGGAGTGGAGTTTGAAGTTAGCATTTCCACTTCTCTTTGTGGAAATCATTCTAAAATAACAAAGAGAATGATAAATGAACAGGATACTCCATTTACTATAAAGCTAAGAGACAGCTGAAACACCAGTGCATGAAACAAAAGCCTTCAGAAGCAGTGAATTATCAAGTGGTGGTGGTGGGGGGGGTGTACCAGGAACTGAGGGAAGAATACCAGGACTATTAATCTCTGAAGGAGCCAGACAAGACACTTTTCAAAGAGGGTGTTCACTGCTTTGGCTGCAGAACCAAATCCTTTTGACCAGAAGAGAGGGAGTGGCTAGGGTGGTGGACTGGAGCTTCCTGCAGTTATGATACTGAGAAGTAGAGGAAGTTGGGTTAAACCAGGAATTTGCAGGAAGCTATCTTTTTCTAGTAAGGGGAAGAAGAGATTATGTATTTGAAAAACCTTCAGATTCCTGTAGACATTTCTCAGTGAGATTGAACTAAACCAACATTTGTACATAACTTTGATCTTAGGCCATATTCCTGTGCAGGGAACAGACAAATGGACTTCACCCACATCCTGCAAGTGGGTGATCTAGGAAATCCTTGCCACCTTCAAAGCAGAATAATGAGAAATATATCAGCATTAGACACCCACTGTTGTTATAAGAATAAAATAGAGAAAAAGAAGAGAAAAAATGGAAGACGATAAGCACTTAGTTGAAACTATGACTAGGCAGAGGTGAACATTTTAAGAAAATATTTCTTCATTTTGAAAAATGAAATAAGAAAGCAGCAAAAAACATGATTTAACATTAGAAAATTTGTTAATGTAATATATTAAGACAGCAAGAAGAAAAAATATACTTGTACAATCAATACCATTATTGATTTTTGTAAACTCTTATATCACTAGGATAGGTAGAAACTTCTTTACCTTTAAACAAGAATTCCATAAAATATGCGTATGTGTGGCTCATGGATATGGTTATTTTTTCTCATTTCAGATGTCCAGACAGTCAATGAGCTAATTGAGAGGAGCTGAGAAAGTCACTGTAAACATTTGTGGCAAGTTGTAGTCATCAATCACAACACATCATCAACTGAGGAGAGAGATAAATTAGAAAAACTGTGGAATTTGAACTCAAACTATATTTCAAATCTGATTATAAATAATGGAAACCATTCAGGAATGAGGCCTGAGGATTTTAATGCATGTCATAACACATTTCTCTCTAGAGAGCTTGATGAGACGCAGTCTGGAGAGGAACCTAATAACCCGTAAGATGACGGGGAAATCACTCAGACGACCTGAACATCTAAGTCTGCCTCCCAAGATACAAAAGGGGCAGCAGCCTTTTGAATGTGGTGAACAAGGGGAGGCCTTCAACACAGAGGTGATATTATTGACACATAAAAGGGATCACATGGGACAGACCTCCTTAAATACAGTGGACATGGGAAGGCCTGTGATAAGTCAGCTCTCATTGCCAAACAGACTCAGATAGAGAGGAAAACTTTTCAATGTCATGTATGTGGGAAAACGTTCAACAGAAGGTTTAAACTCACTCAACACCAGAAAGTACACAAGGAGAGAAAGCCTATGAACGTAGTGAGTGTGAGAAATCCTTCATTAAGAAATCAGTCTTTACAGTACATCAGAGAACACATTCAGAGGAAAAGCCCTGTGCATGTACCAAATGTGAGAAATCTTTTTCTTTTAAGTCAGACCTTACTAGACATAGAGTTCACACAGAAGATGAACTGTATGAATGTGATGAATGTAGAAAAACCTGCCAAAGTCGCACCTCACTGTACATCAGAAAACTCATGCAGAAGAGAAACCTTATGAATGTAATGAATATGGGAAAACCTTCAGCCACAGGTCACACCTCAGGAAGTATCAGAAAACTCACAGAGAAGAGAAATCCTATGAATGTAATGTATATGGGGAAACTTTCTGCCATAAGTTGGCTCTTATTGTGCATTACAGAATTCACACAAGGGGAAACCTCCATGAATGCAGTGAATGTAGAAAAACCTTTTCCAAGAAGTCAAACCTTAGGGTGCATCAAGGTACTCACACAGGGGAGAAACATGTGAATGTAAGGAATGTGGAAAAGAATGCAGTGAATGTAGAAAAACCTTTTCCAAGAAGTCAAACCTTAGGGTGCATCAAGGTACACAGGGGAGAAACATGTGAATGTAAGGAATGTGGAAAGACGTTTTCCCAGAAGTCAGTCCTCACTGTGCATGAGAGAACTCACACGGGGGAGAGACCATATGAATGTAAGGAATGTGGAAAAACATTTTGCCTGAAGTCAGCCCTCACTGAACATCAGAGAGTTCACGTGGGGAAAACTGTATATATGTAATGAACGTGGAAGAACCTTTTGCCAGAAATCAGCCCTCAACAAGCATCAGGGTACTCAAATGGGAGAAACCATATGAATGTGATGAATGTGGAAAAACCTTTTCACAGAGGTTAGTCCTCACTATACATCAGAGAACTCACACAGGAGAGAGACCATATGAATGTGAAGAATGTAGGAAAACCTGCCAGAAGTCATACCTCACTTTACATCAGAAAACTCATGCAGAAGAGAAACCTTATGAATGTAATGAATGCAGGAAAACCTACCATAAGTCAGTTCTTATTGTGCATTACAGAGTTTACACAGGAGAGAAACCCTATGAAGGTAATGGGTGTGGGAAAACCTTCAGCCAGAGGTCACACCTCAGGAAGCATGAGAAAACTCAAGAGAAGAGAAATCCTATAAATGTAATGAATGTGGGAAAATATTTTGCCTGAAGTCAGCCCGTGAACATCAGAGTTCACACAGGAAAAACTGTATGAATGTAATGAATGTGGAGGAAACTTTTGTTATGGGTCACGCCTCAGCAGGCATTGGAGAACTTACACAGGGAAGAAATCCTGTATGGCAGAGACTGACTAAGTGGTCCTAAGACCACTTTCTTTTCCCTGGACACTGAGTTAGCCTGCATTCTCAGTCTCACCTTATTGTGTGCTCTTTTCAGGGAAATATGAAGATCAATGATGAAGATTACTTTGAAGCCTGACTACAAAAAATGTCCATGCAGTCGTCCCTGGTTTATCCTGCCCTCTGGGGCTGAAGTGCAGATGACCCCCAGGGTGGCCTTGGAGGCATAGGTAGGAGAAGGTCACCATGATGTAAGTTAGAAGGAAGTGGTAGGAGAGAGCAGAGATCTTCCCACATTTATCCCCAAACCTTCCATTTTTACTTTATGTGAGCGAGAAATACCTACTCTGTTGAGACCCTGTATGTGTGATCTGTTTGCATCACAACACAAATAGCCCATTGTAGCTATTTCACTTTGAGAACTTTTTAGTACTTATATATGAGAAGATTCACATGGGAGAGACCTGTATGCTACCTGTTTTCCCCACATCAGTTTATAGAAAAATCAAACAAGTCATAGAAACAACACATTGAATGCCTTATCAGGCAGAGACATCTCATTGAGCACTGCTGATAGTAAAGTCAATCTTTACAAATATCTTTAATTGGTCAAGACTTTCTACAAGACTTCCAACATGTTATGTATCAGAATATTTGAAATGAAGGGGAAAATATCAATGTGTGTAATATGAGTGTAAATTTTTAAATAGATATGTTAAATATAGTATCAAAAATACTTTAGAAGTATTTGTATACTGATAAATACAAGTGGTGATATCATTTGGCTGTGTCTGGAGACATTCTTGGTTGTCAGAACTGGAGATAAATATAGTATCAAAAATACTTTAGAAGTATTTGTATACTGATAAATACAAGTGGTGATATTGCCTGTCAGGACATTTGGCTGTGTCTGGAGACATTCTTGGTTGTCAGAACTGGAGATTGGGACGTGCTACTACATTTAGTGGGAAGAGGCCAGAGATACTGCTAAACAGCCTGCAGTGCACAGAACAGCCCCCTTTTGAGTTTTCTGTGTTAACAAAAAATTTTCTTAATGTAACTGAGCATATCTGTGGATAGGAATAATGTACACTTAGCATAATAGATATTGTGACTTACATTAGGATTTTCCTAATTAATGCCACTCTAGCCTCTTATATATCTTGTTAAACATATTAAGTCTAAAGTATTCCACTACATACTTTCCCCCTCCTCTCCTAGTGTATGTACATTGTATTACCAAACTGTCTTTTTTTTTCGTGTCCGGCAACGGACCGCAACCCTCAGTGTCATGCCCATACCGGACTGGGACCGGCAACGGGATCGCAACCCTCGGTGCTGCGCCCACCCCTCGCTCAGCCAGTGAGCGGGAACCGGTCTGTATGTGGGATCCGAACCCTCAGCGGGAGCGCCACCGCACTCCCAAGCGGCGCACTGTAGCAGTGTGCCACCGGGCCGGCCCCACCAAACTGTCTTTTAAGAAGATATGTTTTTCTAAAGTGTAAGCCAGACAGTGATTCTAATAGAAACATTATTTCCATAGAAATGCACAAATCAGGCACATAATTATTAACAGCAAGTCTGACTTAACTTAAACATCCGTGGACAGTAGTACTCACTTCATTCTACAAGTGAAAAGCAGTTTCTAGAAGGAAAATTTACCCTTTGTTTCTATTCCTCATATTTTTAAGTAGGGTATGAGCATAGGTATGAGCGTGTGTACCAAGCGCTGTGTACAAGAGGAATCTCTTATGTTTCTATTTCCACTGATGGAGTGCTGCGTGTGTGCTTTGTCACTATAGGGGCAACCTGGTAAATTACAGCTCCCGTTGTTGTCTGTGACTTCTGGTGTTTAACCTCTCTGAGCTTCTGTTTCTTCATATTTAAAAACGGAGTAATAATAAAACCTGCCTCAGAGGGGCATTATGAGGAGTACGTTAGATAAATAAAGTACTTTGAACATTACCTGGCACCTAGTTAACAGTATAGTCCGTAGCTATGATGGTATTGTTTATTATCATAATTTACAAAATTACTGTCATAAATTGGTAGGAGGTGATAACACACTGTTGTTTGCCTACACAAGAGCCATCTCTCACTTTGGTGAATTCTTGATTTGGTTTTGTTAGCCATTCATACACAGAGTTATTCAGGGGTTTATCTTGGTTGAGATTTTTATGAGGAGCTCAGGATAATCTTTTTTTTTTTTTGTCTTTTTTGTGACCGGTAAGGGGATCGCAACCCTTGGCGTGGAGTCCCCCGCACCGTGTTCAGCCAATGAGCGCACCGGCCATTCCTATATAGGATCCGAACCCGCGGCGGGAGCGTCGCTGTGCTCCCAGCGCTGCACTCTCCCAAGTGCGCCATGGGGTCGGCTCAGGATAATCTTTTTTTTTTTTGTCTTTTTTGTGACCGGTAAGGGGATCGCAACCCTTGGCGTGGAGTCCCCCGCACCGTGTTTAGCCAATGAGCGCACCGGCCATTCCTATATAGGATCCGAACCCGCGGCGGGAGCGTCGCTGTGCTCCCAGCGCTGCACTCTCCCAAGTGCGCCATGGGGTCGGCTCAGGATAATCTTTTCATGGTCCTTCCTGGCTGAGCATGTGACCCAGCTCTGTCTAGGGTCTTACTAGCAGGATTCTGTGGCATGTCCAAGAAAATTTCCTCAAAGGAAAAGGAGCTGCTCTGTTCTGGGACGTTTATGCAGAGCTTTAGGTTTCTGTAGTTGCAGAGGAAATAGCTACCAACTTACCACCTCAAAACAACACACATTTATTACCTCACAGTTTCTATGGGTCAGGAGTCTGTGCACGGCTTAGCCAGGTCCTCTGCTCAGGAACTCAGAAGTCTGCAATCAGGCTTTGGCTGGGCTTCATTCTCACTGGGAAACTGCTTCCAAGCTCATTCAGGTCTGGACAGAATTTGTTCCCTTGAGGATGTATGATTGAGGGCCTAGTTCCCTACTGGCTGTTGACTGGAAGCCACCTGCAGTTGCCTGCTCCATAGCCCTCTCCATGGAGGCAGGGCACTCAGGACTGCTTCCTTCCTCAATGCTAGCAAGGGAGGGTTTTACTCCAGTCTGCTAGGATACTGTTAAACAGCATCATGATGTTATCCCTGCCCCTTTGCCATATTCTCTTGGTTGGACCTGAGTCAAAGTTCCCACCCACATACTAGGGCAGAGAATTGCATGAGGGTGTGACTCAGAGGTCATATTAGGGTGTGTACGATATGTAGATTGTAAATCCTTTTTTGGAGGGAGTGGCAGTGATATTGTGGGTTTGTGTTTCTTAAAGCAGAAGGTATCTTAACTGTCCAAGATTAATATTATAAATTACTCACTTTAGAAATATTACATACAGCAATTACAGTATAGAATTACTACTTATCAGAAACTCCCTCAAGATTGGCTGTTATTGCATCCTGGATAACTCCAAATGCTAGAAATAAAGTTATTATGCCATTGTTTGAAGGAAATGTGTTTGTATATTGACAAGCTGTCATATCAATAGAACATCCTTCTTGGGACATAGCAGGGTGTCAGGTCTTCCTGTCCTTTAAACTGTTGAAAGCACATATTGTTTAAATTGAATTCTTCATTGATACTTCTCCTGGTGTTACTTGACTAGATTTGGTGTGTGTTGGGGATCTAACTTAATCTTTTCCTAATGTCATTTTCCTATATTATGACTTATGACTAATTTACCTTTAATCTATTGTTAGTCTGCTTGGGCTACCATAACACACTTAGGATTAGAGTTAGGGTTGGAGTCAGGGTTGGGGTTAGGATGAAGGCCAGGGTTAGGGCAGGGGTGAGGGTCAGTGTTAGGGTCAGGGTTGGTGTGAGGGTCAGGGTCAGGGCTTGTGGTGTGTTAGGGTCAGGGTTCGGTGTTAGGATCAGGGTCAGGAAAAAGACACCAAACTCCTTTAGAAAAAAATACATATTTGGAAAGGATAGACATCTTCGATTATGAGATGTAGAGACCATCGTCAGAGGTTGTGCTAGAATGTAAACTAATAGTTGTTTCATGGGTAGACTGAATCTTTTTGTCTGTCAGACTTTTTTCCAAGGTAGAGATGAAGAAAGACTTTCTGGCTAACTTCAAGAGACACACACCCAATGATAGAACCAGAAGCAGAGCTGAGAAAGACCAGAAGCAACAGCAAGCTTGGCATGAGCTGGAAGGTCTTTGATGGAATGACAGACACCCTGTGGGAATAAAATGAGTTACTTCAAAAACAGTTGTCAATTCTTAAATTTCACAATTTTCCTGGTTTGCTTGTATATTTCTCTGACCATCCTGTCTATGCTCAGACATCTGGTGCTCAGAGGTGAATAGTTGGCTGCAAAATGTAGCATTCTTTACTGTTCTTTGCTCTAGGTAAAATGTAGTCCTGTAATCCCAGAAAAGCACATATGTGACGGAAGAAATCAAAGAACTAAATAAATGGAAAGATACACAGGCATTCCTTGTTTTATTGTGCTTCACTTTTTTTTTTTTTTTAAACAAATTGAAGGTTTGTGGCAATCCTATGTGAACAAGTCTATCAGCACTATTTTTCCAACAGCAGGTGCTCACTTCATGTCTTTGTGTTACATTTTGGTAAGTCTTGCAATATTTCAAACTTTTTCATTATTACTCTACCTGTTATGATGACCTGTGATCACAGGTCACTTTTCCTTGGATAGTTTCCCAGTCTGGAAGTTGCTAATTGCGTCTTCATATGCCATTGACCATGTTGCTCTATTTTTAAATTTCCTCTGAAATGATACTTAAATCTAGAGCTTTAGAGTATTAGTGTCACATTTATTTTGTTTTGTTTTGGCAAGAGTGCTTAATAGGTGATATTGTCTCTTTACATCAAGTGGTTCATGATGCCTGGTTACTGCTATTGTGATGTTAATAACAAATAATTTCCTAGATCTAATGTATTTGGGGATTAAAAATAGGTGCCTATATTATAAACGAATTAATATGAAACGTTTTACAGGGAGGTTTCAGAATCTGTACTGGTTTTATATAAAAAAGCTGTTTTATTTATATGTTTTAACCAGACCTCTTATTATATTTTCTTACCAGTTCTTTTGGTTTTGTATAAGATTCTCTGGAGCTTTCTAGTTGATTATGCCATCTGCCAGTTATAATGATTTTCAACTTTATATGCCCTCCTTTTCTTCTTCTTGCATTCTTACATTGTGAGCATTGACCCGACTTTGAACAGCATCAGCTGTGAGAGTGCACCCTGCCGTCACCCTGAGTTTTATAAAGGGGATCTCTAGTGTGTCATTTCACCCTGGAGGGAAAAGCTGACCCTGGAGAAGTCTGATTCATCTGTTGTGCACTCTTCGCCTCAGGACAAGGAGCAGGGTCACTACTCTGGCTGGAGATCTGCCCTCAGCCCCCCTCAGTCCCAGCCCAGGGCTGTTGGATACTGCCACTGTCCTCTCACCCTACTGGATTCTGAAGTGCTTGGTTTTGTCTCCACAGGGCAGGCCACATCCTCACAGAAAGTCAAAGAATTGATGAAAATAGTGGGAAATCTTTAGGAACATGACGTCTCCTCAGTTCCTGAGGCTCAGCCTGAGGTTTGGGGTCAGGCTGATGTGGGTTCAATTCCAGGCCCCATAATTCACAACCTTGAGAAGTTATCCCATTCCCTTTCTCTTTTTCCAAAAATTTAATTTCTTAAACTAAAAATAGGGCTCCATGATTCAAAATTAAAGTATAAAGAGATAGAAAGATAGAAAGCAAAATATTTTCCCAAAGCTCTGTCCCAAGCCCCTTGCTGGTCATCCATTTGGCTCCCACTGTACTCTGTTAAGTCCAGAAGTTTCCACCTTCAACTCCCTTCTTTCTATCTCACCTACTACTCACTTGCTCACCAGGCTCACCCCAGCCACAATCCCACTTCAGGGTGGGCCTTTGCACTGACTTCCTCTACTGCCACCTGGAGAGCTTCATAACCTGCTCCCTCAGTTAATTTAGGGTCCTCCAGATGCCTTCCCACATCTAGAAGCACTTCTCACCTCTTCACTGTATAACCTCTTGCCCCACTTTATTTCTCTTGACTGCAGTTACCACAATCTGATTTAGTATGTGTTCCTTTTCACCCCCTCTCATAATGTGAGCCCCTTGAGGGTCCCACACAGCACCTGCTCACAGTAGGTGCTCAATAATTTTGTGTTGAATGGAAGCAGCTGAAACACAGGGCTGGCACCCACTCCACATCTGCCTGCTCTTTCAGCAACTCAACCTCCTTTCCTCCCTGCAGCGGGAAATCTGGAGCCCTGGATTAAGGCCCTATTTAACTGGATTAATGAGGTTCAGCAAGGTGAGCCCAGGGACCTTGGTGGCCAGCCAGGACCAGTTCTGTGACTTGCCAGGCACAATGCAAAATAAAAATGCAGGGCCCTTTGTTCAAAAATTACCAGATACTTACAACAACAACAGCAGAGCATTAAATTAGGTCTAGGGCCCTTCTATGTGCAACTGCCATAGTCGTATGCCCGTGAACTTGGTGCTGCTGCCAGCTGAGCAAGACAAGAAGGGCCTGGAATCTGAAAGCCTTAAAATTACCAGATACTTACAACAACAACAGCAGAGCATTAAATTAGGTCTAGGGCCCTTCTACGTGCAACTGCCATAGTCGTATGCCCATGAACTTGGTGCTGCTGCCAGCTGAGCAAGACAAGAAGGGCCTGGAATCTGAAAGCCTCGTTTCCTGCTCTGTAAAATCTGGGTCCCTTCAGGTTTGCTTAAAAACAAATGTGAAATTTCACTCTGGAGTGAGATGGTATCTCAAAGTGGTTTTGATTTGCGTTTCACAGCAAACAAGAGAAAGGGGACAGTCCAGGAGAGGCAATGTACTCCCAGATCAGGTGAGACAGCAGAGACAGATCCTAAAGGGAGCTGGGGGCAGGAGGGCAAGGAGGGTTCTGGGAGTCCTGAGAGGATGGTCTGTGGGGAAGGGCATTCCTGCAGGGGGCACAGCCAAGGCAAAGGCAGGAAGGCAAGGCAGTACTGGGCTGGAGAGAGGTTGGAGGGGATGGTGTGGATGCAGGGATGGGGGATACCCTCAGCCTAGACCCTGACCTCTCACAGTACCTCAAAGTTCATGAGGAGAAAAACCTGGTGCCTTCCACTAAGCCAGGAGGACACTCCTGTTCAGACCTTATCCCACGGGGCTGAGGGAAACAAAGGTACTATTTTGGTACAACCTGCCTCAGCTGAGTCTGTGCTGGGAGAAGGGACAGGTCCAAGACCCCCAGGCCCGTGAGAGTGGTGGAGCCTTGGCCTGACGCTGCCTTTTGGCCTGGGCCATAGTCACACTGTAGGTGCCCAATAAATCCTTCCCCAACCTTCTGGTTTCTGGACGGCTCAGTTCTAAGACCTGATAGGCTGTGCTGGGCCCAAAGACAGAGGGATGCAGGCCTGAGGCCCTCTCATCATGGGCCCACTGGGTCTGGAATCCACCCTGTGATAATTTCTTTAATTCCTTTATATAGGCTGGGACTGCACAGCCTTCCAGAATTAAAGAAAAAATAATTATCTGGAATCCAAATCCAGTCAGTTCCATAAAGGAATTTCAGGCCATATATACTTTGTTCTCTTAGGGTCTTACGGAAACTATATATATATATATATATATATAAAACTAACTGAGACACTTGCTGACAGGAACATAATGTGTTAGAAATCCTCTGTGTGCAGGGAGTCGACTACCTAGTAATTAAATTGTGTGCAACTGAGGCATGTTTTAAATTAACCAAAATACACTGACCCAATTAAGGCCAATTATAGCTGTCAAAGTTTGCATCTCTTAGGTCAAAATACAATGAATTAGTGATAAAGAGGTTTCTTCTCTTGACAGGTACAGGGCCCAAAATGGCAATGCTTAGAAATCTGCAGATTATTAAAGAAAGAAACAGTATTATATAGCAATGGCATTAAAATAAAAATACAATTTAGATCAGGATAAGCATTTCAGCTAAAGGCTGCCTCACAGTGAGGGATCAGGAGAGGCTGGTCAAGGGCTCCAGCTTTCCTCTCTGCTCAGATGTGTCAGGGTGCACTTCCTCTCTCAGATCAGGAGCCATCTGTGGGTATACAGAGCATCTCAGAAACAGAGAACCCCAAATGGAGTGTAGGCTGGGCTTTCTAAACCCTGCTACTTGCTATGGACCAGCCCCCAACAAAAGAGTTCTCTTATGTTCTCACCATGACCAAGTGAGAACCTGGTCAGTCATTACTTTTACTATTATTAACAAATGATGGTGACAAGATGGTATAAACCACAGCCAAACTCAGCTCAGACACACAATTAACAGGTACGTTTTACTCCTCACTCAGGGGTCAGGGCCATGCAAGTACAAGCAGATCACATGCTAAGAGGAAGCAAGAGAGAGAGAGGCGGGAGCTGCCAGGGTCTTTTAAAAAACCAGCTCTCACAGGAACTAATAGAGCAAGATCTCACTCCCTACCCCCACCTCCCAGGGAGAGCATTAATCCATTCATGAGCCATCCGCCCCCATGACCCAAACAGCTCCCAACACTGCCACATTGGGGCCAGATTTCCACAAGAGTTCTGGGAGGACAATAATCCAAACCCCATCACCTGTGGACCCAAAGAAATTTACTTAGTACTAAAAGAAATAAAACCTTTTGAAAAGTAGAAAGGCTAATGAAAATAAGACCCACAACTTGAATACCATATTTCCTTAGGTTTTTAATGCTATGATTACTGACCCATCAGATCAGCGAACTTTTTTCAGGACGAAAGTAATTGTCAACTTTGCTCCCTACGTAAAGGAGAGTTCCTTTTTCCCCACAACCTCTCCAGCATTTATCATTCTCAGTCTTTTGGATATTAGCCATCCTGACTGGAGTGAGATGGTATCTCAAAGTGGTTTTGATTTGCGTTTCCTGGATGCTGAGTGATGTTGAGTATTTTTTCATGTGTCTATTGGCTATTCATATATCTTCCTTTGTGAAATGCCTATTTAGCTCTTTTGTCCATTTTTTAACTGTGTTACTTATTTTTTGCTATTCATATATCTTCCTTTGTGAAATGCCTATTTAGCTCTTTTGTCCATTTTTTAACTGTGTTATTTGTTTTTTTTTGCTGTAAAGTTGTTTGAGTTTATTGTATATTCTGGATATTAATCCTTTGTCAGATGTATATTTTGCAAATATTTTCCCCCACTCTGTTGTCTTTTCACTTTGTTGATTGTTTCTTTTGCTGTGCAGAAACTTTTTAGTTTGATATAATCCCATTTGTTTATTTTTCTTTTG